TGCATTCCATTAACTATTCCTTTTGTTTCTTTGTTGCAGAAAATTTGCTTGTTTATCCACCATAACATGTTATCTTTGGAGACTATGTCTATGAGTTATGGGATGAGGAGACGATAAGAAAGATTTTAGGTTTCTTCACTCCCAGAAACATGAGAATTGATGTAGTAACAAAATCCTTCAAGCTAAATGGTACCATGTTCTGTTCTATTTAGTCATCATATTATTATTGTAAAATATTGAACCATGTTTCTATGTTCCAAGAGTCTAAGAACAATGACAATCTAATTTGAAGTCATATGGCTTTCTTTGATTTGCAACTACCAGTTGGTTGGATTGTCCCTTTTACATTGTAAATTCCCACAATTATCATGTTTCTTATGTTATATTGATTTTGTTTAACTAAAATGTGCTTAATTTCTTTTATTTATACTGATAATTTTGGGAAAGCAACTGAGTGCATATACTCTCTGACACACAATGTGTAACATCCCAATCTATGGGTTAGTGACTAAATTGTAAAAATTTCAGAACTTGGTGACTAAAGTAGAAGAATGGAATAGTTTAATGATTTATTTAAAAATATTACCTGAAAAAATGTAAGTAATTATTAGATGAAGTGAAGGGCAAAAGGGTCTTTTGTAAGGGAAATAATTAATTAAAGAAAGGTTATATATTAACCACGTGGAAGAGAAGAGAAATCTACAAGCTTCCAGAGTTCTCTTTCTCTTCTTCTTCCTTTATGTGTGGGAACCCAAAACAAAAGTGAGTTTCTGGTTAGTTAGTTACTTGTTAAATTTAAGATTGGTTTATGATCATTAGATGATATAACTAAGCTTAAGGAAAGCTTAGATTATCTTAAAACCATAAGATGAGGAGTATATGAAGAATTAAAGAAAGGAAGTAGAAAAGTGAAATCTTGGATTAGAGTTCATAATAAGAATTAAAAGTGGGTTTGACTTGTCATCAAACTAATTAAGGAATAGGAAGTGTTAGAATTAGATTAAGAACATGTTGGAAGTTGAGTGAGATTCTTAAATTTTATATGGAGAATTGGATTTCTAAGTTTTAGAGGTATGGAATGGATAATAATTAGTTTAAGTAAGAGTATGCAAGTTAGATATATAAAAAGACGGGAAATATAAAGTGTTGAGAAAATTATGAAGAGATTTTCGTGCTAAAATAACATTTCTGGGCTATGTGCATCGATGCACATTCAATGTGTACCGATGCATCAAGGATAAATCCCAGAAATGGTTCAAGGTGTATCGATGCACATGAAGTGCATCGATGCACTCCTTTAAAATAAAAACATTGAATGCCATCAGTGTATCGATGCACAAGTAGTGCATCGATGCACCCCCTTAAATACAAACATCGAATGGGATTTATGCACTGATGCATAGATAGTGCATCGATGCATTCATCAAGGGATGCATCGATACATGTTGTAGTGCATCGATGCATACCTTCATTAAAAGATAAAAATAGCTTTCTTTTTATCCTAAGGAGTGATAGTTTAGAATATATCAATTAGTATACTGATATGTATTAATGTATTATTATGTAGATTTATAACGTAATCTCGTTCTGGAACAATTGAAGGATTAGAATCGAGTCAAAGCAATGCTAAGGTGAGTACATATTATAAGTATGGTATAATGGAATAAGACTTGTGATAAGTCTAATTCCTATGTTGATTTTCATAGCACTATAGTTATGAACATACATACATGATAATTATTATGATACATGCATAAAGTATATATGTTTATATGATTTGATAAATGATATATGTGAATAGATTCAAATGCACATGTGACATGGTAAGTGATATGAGTTATGTGATCACAAGAGAAATGACATGAATACATGAACATATGAAACATAAGAATAATGCCCATGGTATACGATATGAGAGCTATAGGTATAGTTGGCATGCCAAGAGTCGAGGGTTCTACGTGGTCCTTCGGGACATATATGTATCCTTTGGAACATTTACAGGGTCTTTTGAGATAGATTTGATCCACTGGAATATATATATGGTTCTTAAGGAGTGGTCCTTCGGGACAAATACAGTACATAGGTCATTCGGGATAAAATTTCATAGCCCCTAGTGGGACCCATACGAGCTGTGGTGACAACATAGTGCATAACCTCAATGTACTCAAATACCTTGAGTTCTCAAAAATGTACATGGGCCTATAAAAGGTTATCAAAGGTAATTGCATTGTTATAGTTATATGTTACCATATTATTATTGTTTACATTGAATTGTATATAACATGATTTAATGGATAGATTGCATGTTCATATTCATACGGAATGCATTATTATTATATTTATATGTCTCACTAAGTCTATGACTTAGCGTGTAAGTGATTTACACGTAGGTACCAAGAATCAGGAAGAGCGGAAATAGGGTGGTAAGAACAGCAACACTACTAGAAGATCAGATCAGAAGTAACGGATAAAGTATGTCTTTTGTTGTGTATAGTGTTGGCATGTAAGAAAAGTGTCTGGTACAAATGCTCTGATCAGTTTTGTCTTGTTTTGGTTAACTTGTGTAAAGTAACAATGTTATTTTAATGAAAGTTTTAAATTTCCTTGATTTTTCGTCAAGAGTCAAAGTTTGAAAAGTCAATGTGACACCTCGGACTCATATCCGGGTCGGGTACGGGTTGAGGGTGTTACACAATGTGTGTCATCTTCATTTATGACGAGGGCTTCGATGACACACAATGTAAGTCATATATGTGTATCATAAATTTATGACACACAAATGTGTGTCATCTTCATTTATGACGGGGGCTTCAATGACACGCAATGTGCGTCATAAATGAGTGTCATAAATGCACGTCATCTTAAATTCATGTCGGTGGCTTCAACGACAGGCAAATGTGTGACATGTGCACCCATAGATGACGCGCAATGCGCGTCATTAAAGGGGGTTTTCTACTAGTTCATTGACTTCCACACAGCTCATTATACTGCAAAAGTGCGAGCACTTGGCTCAGTTTGTCACAAAGTAAAGTTCATGTTATAGTCACTCAACTACGCTTTTCAAATAGAATTTCTTATCACAAAGTTTGAGCAAATAGTTTGATTTGATCCAAATCATGGTTCAAACTTCAATTTCATAAAGCATAGATCAAATTCATCAATCGAAACAAACACAACTCAATCGAATAAATCGATCGAAATAGCTTACCAAAGCTTACTTACCCAAAGGGTTGCCATCTGATTGCTAAGCGAGCTATACCACAAAGTCATCACAAACATACGAACAAACTTGAATTCGACTACACTCATCTGATTTAAGTTTCCGAAACATCTCAAACTCTCAGATTACTTGGGAAACTTTGTTTTCCTCTTCTTTTTTTCATTTAGGTTCCCATCAAACCATTCTCTTACAAGAACACAATACATGTTCATATATACATTCCTTATCTAAAATCAAATTCAATATAAACCCTAAATTACCGTGAATCCCTAAATTTAATTTAGAGTTTATAGTTTAGGGTTCAATTTTACCCGATTAGCCTTTAGAGAAATGACACCAAATGGAAGAGTAAGACTTGAACTATTGGAATCTCACTTCAAATAAGGTTTAAACCCTTAAATTCTATAAACCTCTAAATGAACTCAATTTGAAATTTTGATCCTTCTAGCTCAGAAGAAAAACAAATAGAAGATATCTGACAGAAAGTTAAGGATGCAAGGTTTCCAAATATATACTTAATTTGGGGTTTGAAGAAGTATTTTAAGGTTAACCTTTAATTGTAAGTTTAGGGTTTTACCAACCTCTCAACAAAGACAAATTGGCATTTGGAGAAGAGAATGGAAACATTTTCATGTTTTTGTTTCTTTCTAACCAAATTAGGATTGGTTAATAACCAATTATTGTTTTATATATAGGATCAGGGACGGTGCCATGATTCTAATTAAGAGGACAATGTATAACTAACAATAGAAAATGTGAGGGGTAAAATTAAAATAAATCAAAATTTAAAGGTCTAAATAAATATTTATCTTGTATAGTTTTTAACGATAAAAAAATAGGGGACAGACCCCCCAACACTATGCATAACTTGGTTCCTGTTTAGGATTATAAGATTTTAACACCGGGTTTGCTTATTCATCAGAAGTCATCGTTATAAGTTAATAGTTTAATCATGGAAGTAATCCTTATAATTTTTCTCTTGTTTTCACTTTAGCGCTCAAACTTTCACCTTTTTACTATAGTCCTCAAACTTTCAAATTAACACATTTTAGATCTTAAAGAAATTCTAAATCAAATCATATTTTAATTCAGATTAATTTATAAATATTACTCACAGATTTAAAATTTTAAAATACTGAAATAATTATCAGAAATTATTTTCCAATCATTGGATATTAGAAAAAAAATTAGATCTGTTTTTTGAGTGTTACATCACATGTTTCTTCTGTACCACAATAAACTTGTTTTATTCTCGATTCTTTTTTTCATTCAATTTAGTCACTATCTTTTTTCAGTTTATTCAATTTAATCCAAGTCTAATTTCTTTTAACACATAAAAGGACAACTTTCACAATTACTGTTAAAAGCATCACAATCTCTTAAATAATTTTAGTATATCAATATTTTTTAATTTTTTATAATATAGCCCTAAATAAGCTCAACATAATTAGTTTAAATACTATTTGTCGTGTGCATGTCTTCATGAGCTTGTAAAAATTTAGGACAAACCCTTAATTTCCTCCACATTACAAGGTAATAATTCCATCTCACCTATCCTTAATGAAAATCCATCTCGAATTAAATCAAATTTTCTCAATTTACGTAGATTTTCACTTTAAAAAAAAAATTACGGTGACGATGATGATATTACCATTGAAACTAGAATTCATCGTCGATTGATTTCTTATTAATTATTCGTTTAGATTTAAAAACACAAATCGAAAAGGGGAAAGTATTATACTACGAGAAAAATAACAAACGAATACGACATAGACGCATAATGTTGGTGAAAGCTTTGCCGTTTCCGCCGCCGCCACCGGCGAACCGTACCATACAAAAGCAATGCTTGAAATATGTGGCGGACAGTATGATGAGCGGATCCTGGAAATTTATAGCGGTCATTGCCACTTTTATCCTTAGCAGGGTTCTTCACCATCTATTGAAGCCTTTATCTCAACCTCAAATCATCTCTGATATTCTTGTACGTCTCTCATTTCTCTTTTTTTCTATGCATTGTAATGCATTTAATCTTTTTTAACGTCTCCGGGATTGAATTACAAACGATATTTCTTAAATAAGACATTAAAATTTAATTCGATGGATATAGAACAAAGTTACGAGAAAGCTTAGCTTACCGAAAGGTTCTCGAACGGATTCGACTCTGGACTTTCGAGACTTTCATCTCGATATTTCTCTTTTTTCTCACTTTTTAAGCATTATAATGCATTTAGTCTTTTGTTAACCTCTTCTAGATTGAATTATAAGAAGTTTGATATTTTTTTAAATAAGATATTAAGTTTCAATATGATGGATATGGAAAAAGGTTACGGGAAAGCTTACCTTACGAAAAGGTTCTCGAACCTATTCGACTATGGACTTTTGAGACTTTCATCTCTTTCTATCTTTCTCTTTCACACTTTTTAAGCATTATAATGCGTTTAATCTTTTGTTAACGTCTTCTGGATTGAATTACAAGAAGTTCGACATTTTTTAAATAAGATATTAAGTTTGATATTTGATCTGGACTCCCCGTCCCTGCACTTAATATTCATATTTGAGTTGTAATATACATGCAGGTAGGGGTATTTCTTGCTTCAATACAAGCCATACGTGATTCATTTGGGGATCAATCTGCTTTAAACATGGACAACATTGTTGATTTTGGGATGATTCTATACACCTTCGTTCTAGGTTTAGAAATGGACCCTTACGTGATCTTCAAGTCACCATCACGCCCTGCAATTTTGGCTTATGCTAGTGTGTTATCAACATGCATATTAACCTCGGTTCTAGTCCCATGGCTGCACTATGGTTCCAAGGACGCCGGCATCATCACCTTAACCATGTCCCTTTCCATTACTCTCTCCGGCACCGGCTCTCACATACTCACCCGACTCATAACGAACCTCAAGATCGGTAAATCGGACATCGGGAAGCTCACCGTCATGGCCGGGGTTCACTCAGACATGATAACTATGTTCATACTTTCAATCAGCTTCTTCTTCCCTTTGGTGATGATTTTGAGTGCGAAGGAAGATATGAAACTGGTAGTGCAGATGTTATCGGCGCTTGTGTTACAGACGATCCTGGCGGCTAAGATCTCGCCGTCGTTCTTTAATTGGGTTAACAACGAGAACCCTGAAGGGAAAGCACTCAAGGGCTCGCACCTAGTACTCTCCATGGCGTTCATCGCCGTCATATGCAGTTGCGCGCCTTGGTTCGGTTACAGCCCTTTCCTCAGCTCGTTCATGGCGGGGCTTTTCTTGCCGACGGAGGGGCGGATATCGAAATGGGCGATCAGCAAGATCAACTACTTGTTGAGCTTGCTTTTCTACCCTCTTCTCTTCTTTTGGGTGGGACTTAAGATTGACTTCACGGAATTTGAAGGCGGCCAACAGGGGACATGGGAGAAGTTTTTCGCGCTTTTGTTCATAGTATACGTCGGGAAAATCGTCGGAACTATCGTCGGCGGGGTCATGTTGGGTTTCCGTTGGCCGGAATTGGCAGCCATCGGATTGCTTTTGATGGCCAAGGGTCATTTTCATCTATACTTCGCTGTTCATGCACTCAGGGTTAGTTTACATTGTTTCTTCTTAATCCTTCTGCTTATATGCGTACAAAGTATATAATATGCGTTAATTACACTATTTATCCTAAAACTTTTAGATGTCTTAATCCTTCACCCGCACCTGACGCGACATAAATATATATTATATATTTTTTTTTCATTAGGTAAAATAAGTACCTAAATAATACAAAAATAAATATTATTATAATTATTTCTAAATATATAAAGAATAATTATAATATTATCTAGAGTCAAGTCGAGTTTTTCCTAAATTCGAATTTAGTTTTAACTCTTAAATTAACGGTTAGGTTAAAGGAAAGACTAATATGATATGATTTTAATATTTTAAAGTTTAAGAACTGATTTAAAATCCGAAAAATTATTTGGATTTGCATTTAAAACCTGTGTATATAAATTATTTGCAGACGGGGAAGATCGAAATGTCAACTTGCATTTCAATGGTGTTTGTGTTCTTCCTTTCTATTGTGCACACCCCCTTTGTTGTGAGGCATATAATCGAACGTGCAAGGCAGCTCGTCCCGGTTCAAAGGATGACTCTCCAATGTCTCGACCCGACGAGCGAACTCGGAATCTTGCTCTGCGTTCACGGACCTCACAACGTGCCTTCATCCATAAACCTAATGGAGATCACTAGGGGCAGACCTAACCCGGGCCTCCGTGTTTACGTGACCCACATGGTCGAACTCACCGAGGAACTCGAGGAGACGCTCGAGCAAGAAGAAGGGACCGGAAATATGGTTGTGACCAACAAGTCGGTGATTGAGATGAGGGAGCAAATCACTCAGGCTTTCCAATCCTACGTCGACGAGAATATGGTCGGTGTCACGCTTAGTCGGTCGCAAGTGCTCTCGACGTTCAACAGTATGGCGCGGGATCTCACTGTTTTGGCGGATGACTTGATGGTTACCCTTATCTTGTTGCCGTTCCATAAGAGGTTGAATGCGGACGGTACCCATGATTCAGGCACTCCTGGTTTTAGATATGTTAATCGTAAGGTAGCTGCCTAAACACCTTCCCTTTGTTTACTTTCTCAGTTTTATGATATCTTTGGTGGACTTATATTCGAATACGAGTGAATACATTTATTAATCAAATGGTTAAGATTAATTTTCGATCGAATTGAAGTTAAAATCACTTAAGTTCAAATAATTTGAAGTTGATTTAAGTCGTTTTGTGATTGAGTTATTCAAGTTTATTTTTGTGTTTGATCATTTCTAGGTTTGATAATTAGGTTTAAATTATTTCAAATTTTCGTCGTTATGAGTTTGAGTCATTTCACATTCTAAATATTTCATAATACGTTCATTTCAGGTTCGAGTCATTCTGAATTTAAGTCTTTTTTGAATTTGGATCAAATGAGTTTAAGTTGTAATTAAATCAGGTTAGGTCGAGTATAGATACTTGTCCATCTTAATATTTGATTCTAACTCGTCCCTTATTAAAATGTATAAATACGAAGATAAAATACTAAAAAAAACATGAAAGATCATGTCGAGCATATATCTATATGAATTTTTTTTCTGGTTTTTTGACAGTTGATTAGACATGCTCCATGTTCTATTGGGATTTTGGTGGAAAGAGGGTCCGGATTTGCAGAAAAGATCACAAAATCATCGCAATGTGAAGTGGCAATCATTTTCATCGGAGGCAAAGATGATAGAGAAGCACTATCATACGTGGGTCGAGTCGCGTGGCATCCGGGAGTAAAGCTCACGGTTATACGATTCCTCCTCGATAGAAACTCGGAAAACGCACCGAGGAGATTGAACAACCGAGCAAACATACAGGAGGAAGAAGTCGAGATGAAGCTCGATGACGAGAGCTTCACCGAGTTCTACGAGAAATACATAGCGGGTGGGAAGGTGTCGTACATGGAGAAACATCTCGCGAATTCTTCCGAAACATACACGATTCTTAAGGCGTTGAAAGGGCAATATACACTCATAATCGTGGGACAAGGTGGACGGGTGAATACGATATTAACATTCGGACTTAACGATTGGCAGCAATGTCCAGAATTGGGTTCGGTCGGAGATGTGCTTTCCGGGTCAGGTTTCGAGTGTGAGGCATCGGTTTTGATCATCCAACAACATAGATTGAAAGGACAACTAGATGGCTTAAATGATGACTTCTCCATCATGTAAAATGGTCTAAAATGAATAGGTTTGAAATTTAGGATGATGAAAATCAAGCCTGATTTGTTGTAAAAAGTGTAGCTTATTAATTTATAGGATGATATTCATCAAAAGAAAAAGAAAATGTAGGATCATAAATGTACACAGTTCTTTTTATCAACAGTAAATTTTGATTTAAATTGTCGATTGAGTTCAACTCAATTTATATTGTCCCTAGTACCATTACATATGAGATCATGGAATTGAACATGTTTAAAGACTTAGTATCTTTCGATTTATGGATAAGGAATTTGAGTCGTACATTTATAATCAAACGTTGTGTATGATTAGGTCAATTCATGTACAAGTGTAGTCTATGACATATCACAAAGCCCTAAAATTTGGGGGATCTACGTATGAATGTCATTTAGGCCCGTCAATGTATAATCTTTGTGTCGTAACGAAATTTTCAATTGAAGGAAAAACAAACTTTCCGTTTAGTTCTCGGGATAGAGGCAGAGAAAGTTGCAAACGAATATTTTAATAGTATCTTTAATCGTTTTTCATGATGAATTTTAGTAAAAAGACCTCATAGATCTCTTATAATTTCAAATTTAATAAATTAATCCTTATTATAAAATATTTTAAAAGCATCATTTTAAAAAGTAACACATGACCTGCACATCTTTTAGAATAATCTTGTGAATGATACAAAAGTATAAAAAACAACTATAATGTCATTATTTCATGTTAGTTTTAACAATGTAAATATATATAAAACTTGTTTAAAATCTATAATAAAAAGTTTAATTGAGTCATAGTTTCGTTGACATCTTTTGAAGGTTTTCAAAATATGTTTTCTTGAAATAAATTCAATTTAACATCAATATATTCTTTTGGATACTGATATCTGAAGTTAAATATCAATACTTTTCTTATAGGTATCAATATTTAGTGCTTTTAAAATAAAAACAAATCGATACTCATTCATAGAATATTGATACCCTCATAAAAATATTGGCACCTTCATGCATGTAACATCCTCAATATCGGGTTAGCGACCAAATTGTAAAATTCCAGAATTTGGTGATTAAAGTAGAATAGTTCAATGATTTATTTGGGAATATTTCCTGAAAATTGTTAATAATTATCCAAGGAATTAAAGGACAAAATGATCATTTGACAAGAAAGATATTTTTCCCCCTTATATGAATGAATCACGTGGGGGGGGGGGAAGAGTTATCTTCTTCTTATTTCTTTTTCTCTTCTCTTCACTAGGGGTGTAAACGAGCCGAGTCGAGCTCGAGTATTGTTGAGCTCGACTCGACTCGAAAACTCGCGAGCTTAAAATTTTCAAGCTCGACTTGAACTCGAAATCCTGAACTGAAGCTCGTGAGCAGCTCGAAATGAAAAAAAAATCTTAAACTTAACTCGATTGAAACCTCAAACTCAAACATGAACCTTAAATACATGAAAATCTTATTGTATTTTAAAAAAAATCAATACATAAATATTAATATTATTAATAATTTATTTTTTAAAAAAATAAAATCTTAATATATTATATTTTCGAGCTGCTCACGAGCTTTTCGAGTTGAATATCGAGTAGCTCGTTTCGGCTCGTTAAGAACTTGAGTCGAGTCCATACGATCCGAGTATTTATCGAGCCTTGATCGAGTCGATCTCGAGTAGCTCGCGAACTGTCTCGTCTCATTTACAGCCCTACTCTTCACCGTGAACCCCCAAAGGCAAAGGTGAGTTTCTTTGTTCGTTGATTATTTGTTGATTTAAAGTTTGGGTTTTGATCATTAGATGATAACTAAGCTTAAGGAAAGCTTAAGTTATCTTAAAATCAAAAGATAAAGGAGTTAGGGAAGATTAAAGATTTGGAGTTCTTGAGTGAAATCTTGAAATAGAGTTGATAAGTTGAATTTGAAACTAAATTTGACTTGTCATCAACTTAATTAAGAGATGTGGAGTGATAGAATTGAATTTGGAGTATATTGAAAATTGGGTATGATTATTGATTTCATATAAAAGATGGGATTTTGAGGTTTGAGATGTGATAAATGAGTATAAATTTGTTTAAGTATGTATATTTGAGTTAATAACATGAAAGGGAATGAAACATGAAGAATTGAAGTTGGAAATAGTGAATTTTCGTGCATGAATAGTGATTTCTGGGCAAAACTTACAGATTTCTATAAGGGTACCGATACCCTAGGGGGAGATACCGATACCCTAGAGGAGGTACCGATACCCCCTAATATAACACCCATAACCCGTATAATTATACCTATACAGATTATAGATGTTATCTGAATTTTTTTAAAACCATTTCTCAATTTGTGAGTGATTTAAAATTTATTTTTTTTAAATGGTAAATGATATTATAAAAATATCATATCATATAAATTATGTTTTGTTGTAACCAATTTAATTCAAAAGTTTTTTTTATGAATAGTGAACAGTACCCATGAACAGTAACCGTGTACAGTGACGATGAACAGTGGGGGAATCGATTCCCTGTAGGGGGAATCGATTCCCTGTAGGGGGAATCGGTACCCCAAAAATATTTTGGAAAATCTTATTAACGTGGTTACTGTTCATGCTACAGTAACCGCTCGAAAATATATATATATTCAATAAAATTCCATTTTTGTTTAACAAAACAAAAAAAACATTTATAATTACATGACACTAATAAAATTAACATTACAACTTAGGATGTCTTACTGATATTGAAATATACTTCTCGATCTTTGATGACGCTTTAAATTCTTTATTCGATTACTGGCTTTTTACCTACACGTGAAAATCATCACACGCTAAGTATATACTTAGTGAGGTAATTAAAACATTTAACAGTGCAATACAATTCATGCATGATTTTCAATGTCAAAAATCAAATTTCCATAAAATCACTTTACTAACATATCCAATATTTTACCATGATCAAAATAATATAAAATCTCTTACCATTTATCCCATAAGCTCGCAAGCTTATTTTACCAAAATACTTACCATTTAAATTCCATAAGCTCGTAAGCTTATTTTTCCAATATACTTGTCATTATTCCGTAAGCTCATAAGCTTATATGCATGATTACCATTTATTAACCAATAAACCATAATCCATAGCCAATAGCCCAATATTAAACCTTGAGGACCATGGGTATTCGAGTAATATTTGCACCGTAGTACTACACATAAGGTCGTGCCCACCATATACACCGAAGTGTATTACACATAAGGTCGTGCCCACCATATACACCGAAGTGTATTACACATAAAGTCGTGCCCACCATATACACTGAAGTGTATTACATATAAGGTCGTGCCCACCATATACACCGAAGTGTATTATAAACCTGCAGCTGCTATACTCTATGGCATGCCAACTATACCCTGTCCCTCAATGACTTATTTGGGCATATAGTCTATTTTATTCGATCCATCCATGGCAAAGTATATTATCAAATTTAACATTGGGCAGTTCATACCCGAAAACATTCATGGTAAAATATCACATTTTTTTCATGATCAATGCATTTTAATTTCATACTCTGACATATCAATGTCAATTTATAAAAATGATATAAAATCATGCCGATATAAACAAGGTCGACTTATGGCAAGTCTTCCTTATGATGTATAAAACATCTATGTATTGCACTCACCTTGACACTTTATGTCTTTCAAAATATATGAGCCTCACTATTGTCCACCATAAGCCCTTTTATATTTGATTTGCTTCGATTACAAATCTATCACAATCTGTATAAATCACCATGCATAACGATTTCATATGTTAGTATTGTACTAACATAAGCACATTCCAAAATAACTCCAAAATATACTTGAACTCATTTTCTATCAAAATACTCAATACTTAATAATTCCTATAACATTGGAACCAACTTTTCCAATTTACCCAAAATGGTCCTTCACCATTTTACCATTTAAATTCTTAATACTAATAATTCCAACATAGTACATCAATTATACAACACTTATACAATAACCCATCAATTTTCCAGAATCCAGACAACTCGCACTACCTTTAAAGAATCAATATTATGTATTTATATACACACTGGAATTTAATTTCGTTTCTTCCGTTGAAAACTAGACTCGAATAAGAATCTATCCATATAAATAAATACTTCTAATTCATTCTGTACAATTTATGGTGAATTTTCAAAGTTGATCAACATAATCTGATTTACAGAATCTGCTGTCCGAATTTTATGATCCTTCCTTAGTTAGAAATTCATATCATTTTGTATACACCTTGAAATTGATCTCCGTTTATTTTAAAAGAAACTAGATCGATATATGAACATAAATATATAAAAATAACCTCGAAATTATTTTTATATAATTTCTGGTGAATTTCCGAACCTACTGCCAGATTCAAAATCCAAACTGTTTTCTTTAACTTCATTCTTAAGTTCTTCATCAATTCTTACAACTACTTTCTTAAAATCACTTAACTCCTCAAAACCCATAAAACACAAGAATCAACATCCCCTTTCATCAACTCAAGATGAACTTGAACAATAACAATATTATGCAATATTGGTACCAAAAGATAGCGTTTTTCGCATATAACAATTCTCTATTTTTAGCATACTCAAAATCCTAAGAAAATTGCTTGAAAATTGAGTTGAAGATTTCTCACCCTTTGAAGAAGCCCACGTCTGGTTTGAAGAAGAAGAGAGCAAATTTGGATGAAATTTAGGAAACATTTCATCTTAATTTACATTATATCTAACTTTAAATGAATATAAAATTCATTTAATTGGGATAAGACCAAATCACCCTTAATGAATCTTCTTATTCACCATAAAACCATGACAACTCATCCTTATTATATTTCAAAGTCAAAGTTGAATTATTTTGACTTTTAATTTCGAAATTCCCCTTGAATTTTCAAAATTTGCGTTTTAGTCACTAAATTCCACTGTTTCGATTAATTCTGAAAAATTGCATATTTCCAAACCAAATTTCTCTGATCCAAAATATTAAAATAATATTTTCAACCATTTTATAACATCCTTCAAT